GGGCGGGCGGGCGCGCGCTCGTGCCCGCGCGCTGGAGGCGGGAAGGAGACGGGCCGGGCGGCCGATGGAGGGCGGCCAATGGCAGCCTTTGGCCGGGAACGCGCGCTGAACGTCGCCATTTTAACACATTCGCAGAATGAATCGGGTTGAAGAGCTGTGGAACCTTCGAATCCAAGCTGTGATCGAACGCCGCCATATTAACTAGACCATGGCACTGAGTGCTACGTCCAGTCATTTCTTGAACACTTCCAGAGATGGTGATTTTACCATCTCTCTGGACGGTCCACTCACCCCTTCTGCGAAGACTCACCCTGTCTAATCAACCTTTCTGTGCAGAAATTTTTATAATGTCTAACCTTAACATGGCGCATTTTAAGACTATATTCCCTGGTCCTATACCTGGTTGCCTGTGAGCAGATGCCGACCCTCATCTGGCCTCCTTTCAGGTAGTTGAGTGATAAGGTTCCCGAACTTCCTCCAGGCTTTTACAACCCCAACTCCCTCAGCTGCTCCTCATGGGATCTGTGCTCCAAGCCCTTCAGGGCGGGCTAGGAGGGAGAGGGATGGGCAGGGGCCGTGCGAGGCTGCGGTTGCCCGGCTGTTCCAGCATCCACACTCGGCATCAGCCCTACTGCGGCTGAGGGGAAGCGGCGCGGGCTTCCAGAATTATCTCGGCCAAAATAGTTAAATGCGCCTGACAAACCTGCCTGGAGCCGCTCTCCCAAAGTGCTCCCCGGACGGGAGCACCAGGGAAAGTACAGACGGGTTTCGTAAACCCAAGCATGTGCGGCAGCAACCTGGGACAGCTCAGCCGCCAAGTAATAAAGGCTCATTGAAACTCCCGCTCTTGTGTAGCTGCTGCGAGGGGCCTGACAAGGCGGACAGGGCGGATTCAATGTCCATTTGTGCTCCACACAGACTGAATTTTATTAGTGGATAAATATTAGTGGAAATTTCCCCCAAGTTTTCAAGCGTTTATTGTGAACCTAATGCTTTCCCAGAAATCCTTTAACTTGAGAATAGTAATAAACCCCATTATCTCAGTATCTCATTAAAAACAGGAAAGATAACTAAGCTCAAACCCCAGAGCTGCGTTACTGTTACGGAACGTACGGTGAGCATTTAATGATACAGTTAACGAGAAACAGGGCCAGGGGTGATTAGCTGAGGGAAAACATTCTCAGCATATATCAATTACAGAGTTAGCGACGGCATTCAAAGAAGTGAGGACAAGCTGTGGACAGCAGGAAGTTAAGGTGTTTGACGTCCATAGGTGTTTAGGCTTTAAGAAAAAAAAGTGCCTGATGGACCTCAAGAGATGACACCTATTTAGTAAGTACAGGTGACAAACTATCAAATGACAATAAGTCAAATAGGCAGGACCTGTCTTGAAGAAGGGTCATTTTAATCCAAGAATAAA